TTGCCATCTGTTCTGATTTGTCATACTCATTCATCTTATTGTCTTCCAGCCACCGGTCGAGTTATAGCCGGACATCGTCTGGCGACCCGAAGTCAGGTCAATCGATTTACGGCGTTCCGGACTGTACATAACGTGCGAATTTCAGGATCGCGATCACCATCCTTCTCATGCGATAAAAAGAACTTGATTCAAGATTTTTCTTAACCCGGTAAAATAGTCCTCCTTTCACCTCTCCCTCCGCAACGTTTATTATTTTTTGTACGTTATGGTAGGTAGTCAGTTACTTTACCAAAGCACTATATAAACACTGCGCCCGTGTAGTATGCTGTTGAGTTTAGATCGTACAACCCCTCACGATGCACTTTCGTGCGCCGATTTTGATACTACCTTCTGGCTACCCATTTGGATGAAGAGATAGAAGAATGACCGAAAAGTTGAAAGCAGCGTCGGAGAAAAAAAGTAGAATTCCGACAGACTGAGGTTGCAAAGATAATGAGTAGATGCAGAAGTACCACTGTTTACGCCACTCAACCATATAAATCAGTGTCTCTAACCATCAATTACAATGATTCCGAGGTTCAGGGTGCAAACCGTGAATTATTGTACCAAGTCTCATTTTCCAGATTTTTATTCCCTCATGCCAAATTTTAGTTTGATCACTTTTAGTTTCTTTTTATTACACACTTTCGTGTAGTGAACAACAGACGGAGTAAACCCCATATTCACGGGGACCTACTGTTCAGTGATGGAACGCGTTAACCTAAGCCCCGGGACTTGGAGTGGTGAAACACATAAGGCCTCGATAGGTTAGGCGTTGTATTGAACCGGCCGTCAGCAAAGCTGCTCTCCACCCATTACCTGCAGTGCACATCCTGTCGAGATGCAGTTCAATCGTCCTGGACATAAATCTTATGTACTGTGATATGTTTTTTCCTTTTTGGGAAAGGTTTGTATCATTTCTTTGATTTGTCAAACTTCCGTCAGGCTCACGTTAGGTTCACTAAAAGTATGTTTCTGCAGCCAGTAAACATTGAGATGGCTCTCTTAAAGGTATTATATAATGCGCTGATCACGATGATTGAGAAAAAATAGAACGTCACGCATAGATAGGCTAGGACATGAACGAAACCATTAACCAATCGCCGTTTTGGTTCGGCTTTCAGCATGCTCTGGACCTCTTGAAACTCAACAACGAAGGTACAAAAATCTCCTCATCCCATCAATCATCGACATATTCCTTCGGGAGAAAGAGTCGATAGTGGTTTGTCGTCCATGAATGTAGGTGAGTCAACAAGGCAACACGTAGTAGCAATAGCTCATAGACGCTTTCAAATTTATGAGAAGAAACACTTACCGATTTCGCAGCTGCATCAATGGTATCACGCAAAGCGGCCACAACCGTGGGCTTCCGTTCCTTAAACTTCTGCAAACACGCAGCAATTGTCTGCTGCGCATATGGCGCATACTTCTTCCGAAGACCAGACGCGAGCTGGCCTAAAATTTTTGTGGCCATCGTTGCAAGCACTATGTTCGTATCTTTGTTGACCACCTATTGGAGAAAGATAACATGGGCACAAACCGGTGGATTTACATTCAACAAGCTACGAATGAGATCGCCAAAATCGCCGGGTGCTATAAGAGGAACATTGGTCACTTTTTCAAGGGATTCCAAGGCTTGCTGTCTTTCCTGCCATTTTTTCTCAGTCTTAAAAAAAGTGAAAACAATGCATTGATTCGGAGTAAATATGCGCTTACAATAAGTGTCCAGTAATCATTTGGAACTTGAGCCAAAACATTCACGGGATCTACAAGATCCAATTCTTCTTCAGCTTCGGCCGCAATACCAACACCTGTGGCGGCCGATCCACCACCACCACCATCAGCAGTGGATCCTGGTTCTTCTTTAGGTTTTTGACTTCGGAGATAGCGAACGGGTGTGGGTTTTTCCGGAGGGAGTTCATCCAAAATGGCATTAAGTTCCGTCACCTGAACATAAATGATCATGCCCAAAAAGCAGCGAACCATACCACAACTGGTTTTAACTCGTTAAAGAAGGTTTTGCTGGCGGCACCAATCCATCGATGAATTTCAACGGTTATATTTTTGGCTTCACCACGAACGTTTTTATCTCGATCATCAAACAGCCGTGGTAGCTGCTTAAATAAAGCCTTCATGGGAACAACTTTGGGACCGAAAAGACTAAGAACTAAATACATGTATAGTATACAAAATTACTTTAGAGTTTCTCTTAGAGTTTGGAGGCAACCAACAACCACCTTCGGATTTTTGTTCGATAAACCCTTTAACAACTCTTCACCAGCAACTTCGTGTTTTTCATTCTCAACAATCTGTAACAAACATTCGATTGCCTTGTCCCGTGTTTTGGCTCGTGGTGAGCTAAGACACTTGACGATCAAACCGGCACAGACATCCCCTGCACACCTGCAGAGACGGGAATGATCAACAGTCAAACAATTCGACTGGTTCTCACTTTCCAGAGACGGTGGAATTCTCAAAATATACCAGAACCGCATCGAGGGCACTTTCAAGAGCGACCGCATTGGGATCATTGACAAACTTCTTCATGATACCGACGTATTCATTGAATACGGGTGCGGTTTCCGATGTCTGTGTTGAGAAAAGCTTCTGCGCTTCATTGTAGCCTTCCAGACGAGCTTTCCATTGCTAACGAGAAAGAAGTAACAAAGCGATTCAGGTATTACCTGATGCTGAACTTTGGACAAAGTGGGCAGTTTCTTCCATTCATCCTCGTCAGACATAACGACTGAAAATAAAAGAGGAAACATAACATAACAGCTGAAGAAGTATTCAGTAATTCACTGAGTTCTACAACACCCGTTTCGTCCTCATTTGCTCACGCAGCAGAGCACATGGAGGGTTTGTGGATAGGGGAACGAGTACTAGGTTAATGGTTGTGTGCATAATTCGAGCTCATGATCACTAAAATGGATGGGCCTCGGACGAGTAGTGAATTAATTTTTATTTACTTCACACATGTCTGAATCCAGACTGTGCCAAACAAATAATAGTTCATTAATCTTTATAAAAAGAAAAACGTTCCATGATGTGTATGTGGGCGGAATACTGCCAGGTTGTCCAGGCCAAGGCAGATGAATTTTCTTGAGGAATACACAGCCGGAGCCTTCAGCTAGCCAAAGCCTGACCCGCAAGGCAGCGGGTTGGTGTGTGAAAATCGCAGTCTGTTAGGAGCAGGGTTTTTTTATTACACGAAAGTGAATGCAGTAAAAGAGATAAACCCCATGACCCCAAGATATACTGTAAGTGGGAAAACATGGGGAACATTTAAGCTAGAACCAGCTTGTTGATCATGCGTTTAAAAACGTGGATGTAAGTTGGAGGGAAGACCGAAAGGGGGAGTGTTCCACAGTTGTGCTATTTTTGGGAAAAAAATGACTGAAAGTTAGAAATGCGACACCTAGAGATCGTCACTTGAAATGGTTGACTAGCCGCTTGTGCGCGGGATCTACGAGGAAGAACAAGTGGGAGGGGGACAGAGGTGGAAACTTCATCAGAGCAAAATCCAAAGTAGTATCGATAGAACAAGGATGAAGAAGCGACTGTCCGACGGTGAGCTCGTGCCTGTAAGTGCGATGTTAGGGAAGGGTCATTGATGATACGGATAGCCTTACTTTGAACCCAATCAAGAGACAGTGAGGTAGACGAAGCCCCACTCCACACATGGCTGCAGTATTCAA